GGTTATCGAAAGAATCGTTTTTGGTTCAAGAGTTATCGATTTAAAGTATTAGAACGAAAATGGATATGCTTAAAGAATATTTTATATGGAAAAGGGTAGTGATAGGTATAAATACTTAAGGATACTAGTTAAATATTTAATAAATAAAACACTCAAATACCAAATACATATCGTTTAAATATTAAATTAATCATTGGATGTATCCGTTAAGTAATATTGACTTGTTATCGATTGTAGATTATTATGAAATAACAATTTATAAACTACAATAATTAATTGTAGTTTGTTTAGAAATAAATCTTAAATACCCCAATATCTATAATATCTATTCTCTGAAATTCATAAACTAATATTCTCTAAAGTCATTATAATCTCTATATTTTCATACCCCACTGTATCCATTATTCTCCACTGTGACATCGTTCGGTATTTTGTCAACATTGTTTGCTTGCCTTTGGTGTTGTCACTTTGAAAGCCGAACGATCTCCCTTTGGTCGATCATCTTTTACGGCCAATTATGTGCGCTATTATGGCCAAATTCCCATGTCACTCACTGCATAAAGCATTTTGGCCCCAGCAAATCGTGAGATACGTTCACAAATTAGCTCTCTGTCCCCGTCGAGACATTATCTTGGTCTATATATGTATGTATGTATAGTATCTGTCTGTGTTCTTGAGTGGGCCTCGTTCGTTTGATTTGTCTATTAGTTGGGCGGCTGCTCCGGGCGTTTCTGGCCCACCTACGAAGCGTGGCTATAATTATAGCCAAAGGCTTGTCGCCTGCAATTTAAACAGGCCAAAATGCAATGTCCAGTACAATTTACGATGACGAGCGCTTTGAAGCCAGAGGAGGAGCCATGTGTGTGGTCCAGAAAAATTACTATCAATAGTGGTTTCCGGCTGAATTTTTTTTCGAGCGACTGATAAGCGACATCCCGCTGACTTTTCAAATAGTTGTTGATGCCGCTCACCTGATCCCAAAATCAATTCGGTAGATAGAGCTGGGTTTAGGCATTGTTTTCACATTGGCTAATCCAAAATCAAAGCCACCAGGCACCGTCACAGTTCCCTGTTTAAGTCCAGTTCCCGACCCTGATCCGCTTTCCAGCTTGTTTACGCGCACACGCGCCTCTTTCGAATCGATTGAGTAAGCGATAGTGCTCGCTCTTATCAGCTATGAATATTATTACCCCGAATATTCTTGGAACTTCGAATGCTGATTTTAAGGTGGAAGTTCCACCGTGGAACAAGAAAAGTACACGTTAGAAAATAAGCAGAAAAATGTAAAGTGCGTGTGTATTTTAAATGAGATAATGAGATAGATATACAATAGGAAAAAGTATCTGTATTTAAATACGTGTGATACAGATAAGGGAAGAAGAAATATAAGAAGATATATCAGGTTTTACACTAAAGATTCTAGGAATAATTATATTCGTAAAATAAGGCAACAAGTTTAGTAATAAGATGAAGATTGGGTCATAACATCTCAGCGATAAGTTACAATACCTTATTAAAATTATTGTTTATCAAAAGTATTAATTAATAACAAAAATATCAAATTTCTTTTCGTGTACTTTGCCAACGCTATGGCCTCCTCCTCCTCCACCTCCCCTTTTAATTTCCTACAGTTCAGATGAAATTTAATTAATTAAGCGGCTAGCAACATGTGGCAAAGAAGGGGCGCGTGTGCGTGTTCTTATCGACACTAATGCTGACTGAGGTTAGACTGTACCTTTGGCCACACACTCGAGTGGTTTAGGTTAGCTTCTGGATGGGATTCCATGTGCGCCAATGGTCCCATTCACTTCAGGGGGAAATCAATCAATTTTCAACTTTAGCTCAAGTGGCAGTGGCTCCCCTGAAATATACACTTGAGTCATATGCACACCGTCTCTCTATATCTGTCTCTCTCTCTCTGTCTCTGTCCGTCAGTTAACCCCCGGGTTAGCGGACATCTTCGTGGGGCTTTTGTTAAAAGGTAGCTTCAATTGGCATTTCCGCTGTTCAGTTCATCGCAAATATAATAATAACTACAACAACAAAAGCGCATAAGAAGAATCCGGCTGACGCATCCAACAAATAACAAAATTGGAACTTACCTTTTGTAAACGTGTGCACTAAGCAAGTACGCGTGTATTGGTTGAGTATCTGTGTGAGTGTGGTGGCGTATCTCACGGCTGCCATTTTCATTTCCATTTCCATTTCGTTTGCGCTGCGCCTCGCTTTACATTTAATTGATAACGCCGACGACGGCGACGACAACAAAGCGCGTACATTGTGAGCTGCGGTTTAATGTCCGCTCAGTGAGGTGTCTACAGTGTTCACCCCGATGATCGATAGTTTACATTAATAGTTTTTACTATTTTATTATACTTTGCAAATAAACTGTAGTTAAAAAAGTACTGATTTTGTAAAATGTGTAAAGAATTTGTAATCCCAATGTTTAAGACACAATCTTTCCAACTTCCTTCCTCCCCAGTTACCACTGTACGCATTGCGTTCTATCGTTTGTACCGTTATATGGTTCTAGGTAGGCGTAATCGTTGCGGTTTACAACCGACAATCGCATACCGACAACCTGATTAAGCGTAAAGAGTGCTTATATGCTTATGCGGTGAGCCAGAGCGAGACGGAAAGAGCTACTGACTCCGCACGCCATGCAATGGCTGAGATAACGGGTTTTTCGCTTCTAGAGCGCCTGTGTGAGTGGGAATGAGCCAACAACAGGTGGCCATGTTGTTGCAGGTTCATATGCATGTACATATATAGGTAGAAAACCTCTCGTTCTCACTCACTCACTCACCTGGCTGGCAAATGGCTGCCGCTGCTTATATCTGTTATGTTGACTTTTGTCATTTTGTGGAGTATCGACTGACGTCACCAGTTGGGCTGCAACAAGCGTGGCAGGTAGAATAACATTGGAATTTGAGTTTCCATTTCAATTGGAAAAATGAAATAGAGTTTCCAAACGGAAACGGAAATTGTTATGGCTGTCGAAACGATGAGGGAAAAGCACATTTTCCCGTCCGTTTGTTTTTTAGCAGCAGCAACAGCAGCAGCAGTCCAAACAAATTAGGATCGCTATAAATGTATTATTTTTCTCCGCACGCTAAAAACAATAAACACGGTGTCACGTTGTCGAACAAAACTAATTACGATACATAATAATAGTTTTCATGTGTGTGTATGTGTTATTTTACAGTTTCGAAGGGGAATTTGTGATCTCATCTCGAGTGTAAATTGGTTATGCGTTGATGATAATGACTAATAGCGCAATGCGCGTTAATTGAAATTCATGAGTTAACCGGCAATGAGGCGTCAAAGTCCATAAAGCGGTACAGTGGGGCTTATAAATATGTGAACAATTATGGAATACATGCAAAGTATAAAGGTTTTGCCAGCTTACCAAATTTAATTCAGTTCCACTGTCCCCTGTTCCGGCATACAGCGCAGGTCGTGCCAATAGTAGCTTAATTATGATAACGATCGTCCAGTGTCGTGAACTTTGGCAACAAATAACAAATCCTATTTGTTTTTGCTTTGTAAACCGATGAACGCGAAGGTGAGACAGCATTAACGGGAAAGTTCAACGCCTGAACGGTAAACAACACTCGCAAACACACACACACGAACCCGTACACACGCGTCGTTCGATAGAGAAAGAGATGGTCGATGGGGAACTACCGGAGTGGGAGGGGATAACAACACGTGTTGCCATCTGTCCGACGAAATCACCGCAAATCTTTCAACGCGCCCGCTAAGTGGGAAAAGTGGAAATGGCTCCACTTTCCCTTTCATTTTCACTTTACACCGCGCTGCTGCACCTTTAAACGAGAGTACCGGAGCGAGAGGGAGCTGCATTTGATGCGTTCAATTTGTTGCCAAACAAATCAAAATCAAAGCACAAACAAAAAGATTTGATTAGCATCAGCTGTTGAAACATTTGATGTGATGTGATGTGCGCCCGGGCGCTGTTGCAGTTTGTTTATTTTAGGCCGTTGTTGATTGTTTGGCTTAGTTTTCTTTCTTTTTTTGTCGCAATTTTCCAATTGAAGTTGAATTTTTATTGGGATCCCACAGCTGAGCGCAGCTTGTGTTCGCCTACCCCGCACTTTTTCTTTTGAGCGCTCTCTCTGTGTGTCTCTCTCTCGCTGTGGGGTCTTTTTGTGCTCGTCTTCCTGCTCACCTTGCATTGTTGTTGCTGTTGCCGGCACTCCACCTCCACCTTCGCTGGAAGTGGAACTATGGCCATCCCTTTCGCACTGCCCTATTCACTTCGCCAACTCTTCGCGCTGTCTTCGTTTTCGTTTCATTCTTCACTGTTGTTCGCCGCGTTCGCACTTCTCTCTTCGTTCTCCGCGCGTCTTGTTTAATTTCATTTTAATTAAAGTTTTCGCGTGTTTTTATTATGTTTTACGGCGCTCGATTTCAATAACGTTTTGCAGTGCAAATCTCCGGAATCACAATGTTTCGAAATATCACAAAAATATCTGCATTTACGACTCGGGGAACAGCAGAAGCTCACAAAAAATGAATCGTTTTCGGTGGTCGCTTTTGATTTGGCCTGCTTTGTGGTCTCGGTCTTCTTGCCTTGAAACAAATTAGAAAGCCATTAAATTTAAGACAAATAAATAAGCGCGCTTGTTGTTTTAAACAATTTTTATTACCTGTGCGTTGGTGTTTTTCGTATTTCTTCTGCGTGGCCCCAAAAATCAAGCAGCTACCAACAACAATTAGACAGACACAGAATGTCAGCTGCTGCTGTGACGCTGCTGGCGTCGCAGTTGGTAGAGGTAACTGTTTTCTTTGCCAAATAGAAGAACGTAGAATGAGAGAATCATGGGCATTAGGGATGGGGATGATGCATTAGTGATGAGCTAACGAGTTATTTTGATGGTATCGATTATCTTTGTTATATGAATATTTAATTAAATGTAATTAATATTTACCTAATTTAAATATCCACTTTAATCAAACAATTTCTTTATAATTTCCAGACCTGCCGCATCTGCCAGAAGGCCTTCGCAAATGTGTATCGCCTGCAGCGGCACATGATCAGCCATGATGAAAGCGCTTTGCTGCGAAAGTTCAAGTGCAAGGAGTGCGACAAGGCTTTCAAGTTCAAGCATCATCTCAAGGAACATGTCCGCATCCATTCCGGGGAAAAGCCCTTTGGCTGCGACAACTGCGGCAAGCGCTTCTCCCACTCAGGCAGCTTCTCCTCCCACATGACGTCCAAGAAGTGCATCAGCATGGGCCTCAAGCTGAACAACAATCGTGCTCTGCTCAAGCGGCTGGAGAAGAGTCCCGGCTCCGGAGGCGCCGCTCGTCGGTCGCCCTCGGATCAGGGCCATAAGCAGGATCAGCAATCGGGACTGCCGGGTTTGCCCAATCCAATGATCTACTTTGCCAGCGATGCTCAGGGACAGGCGGGAAATGCGGCGGCCACGCCCTTCCAACCCTTCCATCCCACGAACTACATGAATGCGGCTCTGTTTTCCTTCCCCAATCCCTTCATGGCTGCCGCCGCTTTGGATCCTCGCGTTCATCCGTACAGCATCCAGCGGCTGCTGCAACTCACGGCTGCTGGACAGCAACAGAGGGAGGAGCAGGAGCTGCAACAGCAGCAGCAGGAGGACAGGGAGCCCGAGGAGGAGACGCCCGATGAGCCCAAGCTGGTCATGGACATTGATGAGCCGGAGACCAAGGATCTAAGGGCAGCCACACCCGAAATCCAAGAAGAGGCAACAGCTCCCATTAAGCAGGAGCCCAGCAGGGAAGCCTCTCCAGTTCCCGAAAGTGATCCTGCTTCGCCGCACGAGATCAAGCAAGAGCAGGTGCAGGAACCACTGTCAGTAGAGGAGGTTGAGCCACAGTCCTCGGTTGAAGAGCCTTCCCAAATAGAGCAACCCGCCGATCTACGCTGCAGTCGCTGCTCCAAGCAGTTCAACCATCCAACGGAGTTAGTGCAGCATGAAAAGGTGCTGTGTGGCCTGATCAAGGAGGAGCTAGAGCAGCATTTCCATCAACAACAGCAGCAGCAGCAACTGCAGCATCAAACCACGTCCTTTGTGATGCCCTCCGCCAGCGAAGAAGACGACGAGGATGAGGAGATGGAAGAGGAGCCGCGACAGGAGAGCGGTGAGCGCAAGGTCCGAGTGCGAACGGCCATCAACGAAGAGCAGCAGCAGCAATTGAAGCAACATTACTCCCTGAACTCACGACCCAGCAGAGATGAGTTCCGCATGATTGCTGCTCGTCTGCAGCTCGATCCCCGCGTGGTCCAAGTCTGGTTCCAGAACAATCGATCTCGGGAGCGAAAGATGCAGAGTTTCCAGAGCAATCAAACCACGCCGGTGGCCAACAATGAAGCGCAGACATCGCAGGTTTCACGTGAGGATCAACCCTTGGATCTGTCCATTAAGCGAGATCTGCTAACACCCAAAAGCGAGAGCTCGCCACCCTACATACCGCCTCAGAACACTGAGGCCCTGAATCCAGAGGCTGCCATCAATCTGAGCAGGAAGTTCTCCAGCTCCGCTTCGATGTCGCCAGCTTCGATTTCACCCTCATCCGCAGCAGCCATGTACTTTAACGCTGGCCCACCGCCTTCGCCGCCCAACAGTCAACTGGAGGCCACTCCTCGAACGACCGGCCAGGCCTTTCCTGGATTGCCCTATATGCTGCCCATGCCCCGACTCCCCATGGAGGCCCTGTTCCAAATGCGTCCCGGTGGCGAATATGCCCCCAATCATCCCCTGATGAACAGTATTAAGCTGCCCGATTATCGTGGCACAAGTCTGAGTCCCGGCGGATCAGAGAAGCGTTCGTGGCGCGACGATGACTCGCGCATTTCACATGAGGATGACTTCAGCGGCGGACTGCTGCCGCCAAAGCCAAGGCGAGGCAAACAGGAGACCCATGGCCATGCTGGTGATCCCGATTTGCCCTTTGTGTGCGATCAGTGTGACAAGGCCTTCGCCAAGCAGAGCTCATTGGCACGCCACAAGTACGAGCATTCCGGTGAGTGTAATTTATTGTTTTATAAAATTATTTCCTTAACTAATTCAAGAACTCTATTCTTAGGTCAAAGACCCTACCAGTGCATGGACTGCCCCAAGGCCTTCAAGCACAAGCATCATCTGACGGAGCACAAGCGTCTGCATAGCGGCGAGAAGCCCTTCCAATGCTCAAAGTGCCTAAAACGCTTCTCTCATTCGGGCAGCTACAGTCAGCACATGAACCACCGCTACTCCTACTGCAAGCCCTACAGGGAATAGGTAAGCGACACCTCAGTGCCGTCCACCTGCCAACCAGGAGCAGTTCCCCAACCGCCGGGAGGAGCGCCGCCACCGCCGACATCCAATCGTGGACGTCGTCGCGTCCAGTCGTTAAATCCAGCGTATCCGCCGCACCAGCACCAGCATCCCCATCATCCGCATCCACATCCCCTGGCCGCCATGGCCGCCTACCAGCAACAGCAGCAGCAGCAGCATCAGCATCGTCTGGCCTGGAATGGAGCCGGGGTGATGCTGCCACCACCGCCCAGTCAGCAACAACATCGTCCGCCGGCTCCGCATCCGCCGCCGCTGCTTTCGGCAGCGGGTTTCGGCCAGCCGCCGCCAACGGCAACGCAGTTCTTTCACCATCATGCAGGACTGCTACCACCACCGCCCCCGCCGCAGCAGCAGCAGCACCAGCAACAGCAGGCTGTGGGCACGCCTACATCCTCGCCCGCCTTTGACTTCTTCAATGCCAAAATGTTTCCAAATTAAGCAAGAAAAGGGTTCGTGTACCAGCTAGAAGCAAGCTTCCAACTCTGGTGGAGGAACATGCTTAGTGGGTACACGGAACCAGGTGCAGTACACGACTTACAGGCTGTACTTAATATAACAGACGGAACCAGAAAAATCTCAAAACGTGCAGGAACACACAAAACAACACACACACACGAGCACCTTTAGATCGAGTCGAAAGAGAGAAATATTTTTTATAGCCATTTAACCTACCAAAACAAAAACAACACCCAAAAAATCAAAAGGAGGAGCAGCGAGAACAAAAAACAACCTTTCGTTTGAGCGAATTTATTATTTTTTATTATTATTATATATTTTACAAATGTTGCAACCACTTTTGTTTCTTTAGTATTCATTTAACGTTTACGTTTAGAACTTAAGTTTCGATCAGAGATATAGATTTATCTATTTTTTTACATTATACATTAATCGATTAATGTTTTTAGTTTATAGAAGCTGGCAAACCAGTACCAAGTGCTGCAGAATACTCAACAAAAAAGCATATATCCTAGATGGAATAAATATGTATATATTTTTTACAATTAATGTATATTTGCTTAAGTTTTTATATTTACTTTACCCTTTTTAATTGCACCTAAAAACCTCCGGACCAAAAAAAAAGAAGAAAGATAGAAAGAAAGCTAAGAAAACAGACAATACCGAGACGAGACCAGAGAAAACAGATACAAAAGTATTATGCAGCAAAAAACTGTATTAAATCCACCACCAAAAACACACAAAAAAACATTGTAATGTCCACGCCCCCTATTTTTTTTTTTGTTTATATAATTTAATATAATATGGAAAACCCACCGCTTGCCCGCACGCGTTTCAAGCTCTCTCACTCTCTCTCTTACTTAAGAAACTTTGTCAAAAAAGAAAACAAAAAGTACTTTCTCGAACTACGCTTTAGTCCCTTAACCTCGTAACCTCCTAACCCTTAATCCGGAGCACGAACACCTACAAGATCATTCCATTTTGGCCAGAGCAGGTGCAAACTCATATGCATTTAGGCCTACGGCTCGCCAATAGACAGACAGAGACACGTTTGTAAAGCTTAAATATTCGCAAAAACCCAAACTAAAACTAAATCTAAATGCTAAAATTAAAAACTAATGCTAACACTAACATTTAATATATATATACGAAACGAAACACACAAAAAAACTTAATTTGGCCTTACTAAAGATTATTTAACAATTAATGAATTAATTCAAAACTGTGCTTAGTTATTAGGTAGAAAGAAAGAAGACGTTTGAGGATACTCAAGCAAAAGAAAAACCTTTGGAAAAGTCTCGCAAAAAAAACATAAATTAGCAAAATTCCATGTGCGTATTAAATGTAAAAAAATCAAAAAAGAAAAACCCTATTAACTATCAAAGTGTTTGCCATGACAATAAATTTTACGACTATGTAATTGATAAAGAATAATGCTTTCGATTCCCAAAAGCTAGCCAAACATAAAAAACCAAAAAGTCAACTTCACTTTTAAATCGTTTCAAAATATATTTAAATTGAGAACAAGATCAACATACAAACAAAAGGTTTCCAGAACAACGAACATTTCTTTTTTGATGTTTAACTTTGTCCCAAGGAATTTTAAGCCCAATGATTTTTCTTGCTTTTCCAAAACACAAAAAACCGAAAAAAACAACAGAAACAGAAAACTGAGAATGAAAAACTCACACAAAAAAATGCATTTAATACTTAATTAATTTTTATATATTTGTATTTTTAACTGAGGAAGGAGAGGAATGTAGGAGGAGAGTAAATATATATATATATATAAATATGTGTAAATATATACATATATTTTTTTGTAAATTATTTCGCATGAACAAAAGCTAGAGAATCCAAAACAAAACGCGCCCTGTTATACTCGAGTTGAGATACTTCAGAAATTCAGAAATAAACAGCCAGCACACACGTTTAGCATAAATTTAAAATAATTACCATTACAACCGTAAATACTTAGCCTAGTTAATAAACCCTTAACAACAACAGAATGTTAAACCTTAACATTAAAAAAAACAAACTCACTTATTTTTAAGCGCAAATACTATGTGGTTTTGTGATGCAGAACAGTTGAATGTTGCCACCAGCATGGATATTTGCACTCTAGGGCCTTATATGAAATACACACACTACACTCTCGTACATAAACATAAACAATTGTTAGTTATTTAAATGATACAAAAGAAAAAAAGATACACTTTTTAAAATTGTGTTCCAAACTCCGCACGGGTTCTTTCCGCCTCTATATATCTATCTCTCTGTTAAAGTTGTTCACCTCCATTACCACTCTTTGTGTAAATAAGCGGAGCAGGAAAATCAGTACTTGTACTTGTGTATTATTTGTTTAATTTTTTTGTATGTTCAACAATAGCAGTTAGCCACATTTAAGTTACCAATTAAGTTACCTCGTTGAAACGGCATCAAATGTTCATTTTATTGCTCGATCCGCTACAAAAAACAAACATCTGAATAAAAACAAAAAAGGAAAACAAGTAACCGACAAAAAAATATATTGAGAGACGAAAGAGAACAACAAACAATTCAAAAAAGTAACTTATATTTCAAATATTACGCATAAATGTATTTTAATCAAAAGTAAGCAAAATGATTCAAATGGATAAAAAAAAAACACGCATTCATATATATATGAATAAAACATTTTTGTCTTGATAAATTTACAAAAAAAAAACCAAAAACAAAAACCAATTATTATAATTATTAAATTTACAACGTGAAAATAATAAACAAAAAAAGAAAATTATTAAAATTTAAATGCAAATGATTTCTTATTTGTGGGAGGATTTTGTATTGGGGGAAAGAATATAGACATATATATTCTTGATCAGCATCTCTTTAAAATTTTAAAAACTCTTTCTCCGACAATCATAATATAAATTCTATAAGAAAACATAAATATAAATAGGAGATAATGTTTACATTGACAAATCATTTTAAATTTATATTTGTTTTGGTTATATCTTCAAAACTTATTAAATAAAACAAACATCATTATATTTTGTTTAAATATTCTTTTCCATTTTATTAATTTGTTTTTTTTTTAGTAAACTAATTGGCCAAGGCACACACAGAGTTTGCATTTGCATTTCCCATCAATTAGCTTCGATTTATTCTCCCCTCACTTTTAAAATATATACTTTAATTGATATATATATTCATAATAAAAAACACACACACATACACAAAACTGAGGCTAATTAAATAGAAAAAAACAAATTCCAGTTTCCAATTAATTTTTCTTTGCGTTTTCCAACGAACCTACGACAAAACAAAAAAATTGCATGTACTCTTCTCTCGCTTAAATATTTATATAAGGGAATTAAACTAGATTACGGTTAGAGGCGGTCACTATAAACTAAAAAACATCTTAGGGCGCTATACTCAACTTTAGGCATAAATTACAAATTAACTTGTTTTGCTTTACAATATTACATTATTACATTAAAAAATAATTACAATTTCCTTAGCATTTTCTCTCGTCTCTCCTCGTTTCATTATTTTTGTGTTGAATTTATCGTTACAATAATATTTTATGTTTTTTGATTTGGCATTCAACAAATTGTTGGTCTAACATTGTATCTCTAAGTTTGTTCTTTATATTTTTGGGGGGGTAAAAGGACTTTTTCCAAGAGCAGTGATAGATGATGGATTTGGTAGAGATAGAGCTCTGTTCTTTTCTCCTAGATTTAGATTTAATTAGGCTTATAAGACCCGCTTATATCGCGCTGCCGTGCGACTTTTGTGTTTTTTTGCCTCCATTTCCGCCACTCCATCGCACACGCACACATCCCAAATGGAGCCTAGATTTAACCAGCCTGCTGAATTAAGGTCCAGGAATTCCAGATTGGAGGTGGAAGCAAGTGGAGAGTGGTGACTGGAGTGTGGAGTAGGGCTTGGTTAAATTCGCGTTCTCATCTCGTTTTCTTTTTAAGGCATTGATTTTTATTTGTTTAGCTTTTTGAGCACCTGAAAATGTTGGATTTTCCAAGTTGGTCCCCTCGTTTCAGTAACAATTTAAATATTTCTATAGTTTTTTAAAAGATTTGTATACATTCTGTTAAAAAGGCCAAGGTCCTGCTTCTCTACATATTCCGTTTAATTTTTAAATTTATTCAGTTCATGCTCTCAAGCATATATATTTATATTATGTGTAGTTCTTGTTTGCTCCTTCGCTAGCTACTTTCTCCTATAATTTATATATAATATATATAGTTTTCATATCTTAGTCACCCCGTTCTCATCTTCTTTTTTGTGACTATTTGACTAACAATGATCGAATCAGCACACTCAGACATAGACCGGCGCCTGATCGTCCGTCATATCCGGATGCTGTTTGTCATCGAAGAATCGCCTAAAGGTAAATTCGAAAAATCCATGGAACTGTCGATCATTTAGATCGATATCGTCGCCGCTGCTCATATTGGAATCGTTGGAGCGCAACTTTTCCGGATCCACGGGATCGAAATTGGATGTGTCCGTTGGATGCTTAATCTCGGGTATGTACGGCGCTTTCTGCTTACGCATATCGGCAAAGTCGATGCCCTTGAAGAAGTCGTGGCTCTTCACCTCATCCACGCTCTTCCCCAGCCGCTTGTCCGCCGAGGCGCAAAGTCGTCGTATTAAATCGGTGGCTTCGCGGGATAGCTCAGCCTGCGGCGGAATGTGCAGCGTCTTTTCCCAGTTGATGACCTGCAGGGATGTAGTTTAAATTATATATATTCTTTAAATTTAGGTTTTAAATCATTGATATTCAACCTTTTGTTGCGTTTCCAGTGGACTGTTGGCTAGGAAAGGCGGCTGTCCCACCAGCATCTCATAGAGGATGACGCCAACGCTCCAGTAATCGCACAATTGCGTATATCCACTCCGTTCCAGCACCTCGGGCGCTATATAGTTGGGAGTGCCCACCAGTGAGTGGGCCAGGACTCTTTGGTGATCGCGCATTCGCCGCCTGCGAGTTCAGCATACTTTTATTAATTATTAACGATACTTTGGCAATTAATTAAATATACAAAACTCGCCTTTCCAGCACTGTGGGCTTGGGTCCATTTTCCGAGTATTCCTCCCAAGGTTCCATCGAATCCTGGCGTGAGTGATTGCCTGCAGAACATTTCAAACGATTAAATAGTGTTTTATTTTAATTATTTTATAGATATTACCATTCTCCTGATAGTACTTGGAGTTGTGCGTCCATCGGAAGCCCGTACACAGGCCGAAATCGGTGAGTTTGATGTGTCCGTCTCTGTCGATGAGTATGTTGTCAGGCTTGATGTCTCTGCGGTCATGAATTTATAAAAATATAATATTTAATATATAGCTTATAAGAGTACACATTAAGGAAAATGTTGTTATATCGGTATTGGATCGATATTTAATGCGAAAGTAGATATACAAATCGATATCTAAATGTTGTACTATGTATACACATTCAATCGATATTTGGTTTCACATACATATCTAACTAATTAATTCGATCATTATTGGTATATCTTTATATAATATCATTATTATAAAGTTTAATGCAATACTTTTCAATGTTTCAAATTTCGATACATCAAAGTTTATGATAGATTCGATATGAAAATTAATATATCGGAACATTTTAATTGATAACTTTTCTTATATTTTCGGATACTATAACGTTAAATACACTATTTTTCCATAGTTTATGTTCGATTTATCAAAAGTGTACAACATTTTCGATATGATATCGACTTCTTATATCGTCACACATGCCCACCTATGAATAAAGCCCATTTTGTGGACGCTGTCAACCGCGGAGGTGACCTCGGCAATGTAGAATCTGGCCAGTTTCTCCTCGAAGATGCCCAGCTTGATGAGCAGCGACATAAGATCCCCACCTGAAAATAAATAAATTAATTAATATGGATTAAAAATTATAAATTATATAAATCCACTCACCCGGTATATAGTCCATCACAAAGTAAAGATTATCCTTGTCCTGGAAGCTATAGTACAACTTCACCACCCAATTGTTATCCGCCTCGGCGAGAATATCCCTTTCGGCCTTGACATGGGCCACCTGATTCCGCTTGAGGACATCGGCCTTGCGCAGGGTTTTCATTGCGTACAGGTGATGCGAGGAGTCGATCTTCCGAACGAGCGTCACCTCGCCAAAGGCACCCACACCAATCGGTTTTAGCTTGGCGAACATGCTCTTGTCCATCTTGGCACGCTTCAGCCGGATGTAGTTGCTCTCCTTCTGGTTCAGCATCTTTCGCATCTCAATTTGCGTTTCGTCCGGAAGACCCACCTTGATCATCTCCTTCTCCAGCTGGTTCTTGCGATAGGTTCGCTGGCGATGCGATTTAATCACATTCTCGATGTGCTGCTCCATGTAGAACTTGAAGGCCTGCGGCGAGTACTGTTTGATGCGGATATCCTTGCGCTCTTCCTCCTTCTCCTTGGAGATTTTTTTGCGCTCCGGTATGGGTGAGGCGTGCTTGATCTTCTTGCAGGCTGCCGATGAGGCGGTGGTACTGGCGGATCCATTGCTTCCACCAGAGCTATTGGCTCCCGTTCCGGAACTATATTTCGCTGGTGGTATCGGTGGCGTTGTCGCCAGATTGCTATTGCTAATCTGTATGTTATTATTGTTGCAGTTGTTCGGTGGCGGTGGTTTGCTCTCCGGATTATTGTTGTTGCTCTGATATGGCGGTGGTGGTGGTAGCTGTCGAGGATTGGGACTGGGATTGCCATTGGTAAGCTTCTGCTGCTGTTGCTGCTGCTGCTGCTGTTGTTCCCTCTCCCGCTGATCCCGTTCCCTTTGAGCCTGAAGTGCCCTCAAAGCCTGGAATTGCTGCGTTTGTTGCTGGTGTTGCTGCTGCTGCTGCTGGTGTTGCACCTGCTGCTGTACCTGCTGCACGGTTGCCGCCTTGGCCTGCATACTCTTGGCATACGAAGGAGGCTCCATGCAGGTGGGCTTGCCCACTCCTCCTCCGCTTAGCAGTGGCGGAGTCGTAGGCGTCGGTGGCTTGGACTGTTGGTGCTGATGCTGCTGCTGGTGATGGTGCTGCTGCTGCTGCTGCTGCTGTTGCTGGTGCTGTGCCGCTGCTGCCGCCTGCTGCTGCTGCTGCACCACTGCCGCTGACTTCTGGGGATATGAGGGAGGCGCCGCCAGCACATGGACAGGCGAGTTGCTTGCCGACGCACTCGAAGGCGACTGCGGAGCCACCGCCGTTTGGAGCACAGGCTTTTGCACCTGCGTGCTCTTCACACTCTGCATTATGATCGGTTGCTGCGTCCGCGCCTGGTATACCCTGGGCTGGGGTTTCGCCAGCGGTGCCGGTGGCAGGGATACAGTGATAGGACTGGGTGATCCCGCCGATGTGGCCGAGTAGATGCCGCTGCTCGGTGATTTCCTGTAGTCCGATTGCTGTGATTGCGTCGGCGACTGACGGGATTGCATGGACGCCGTATAGCTGGGCGGCGGAGGTGGCGGTGCTCCCACAACACCCTGACCCGTCTGGATGAGATACGGTGGCGGTGGCTCCACCACCGCCCCGCTGTTGCCACCCGGATACATGGTAAGGGCCTTCATTTGCTGCGTTAGTTGCTGCTGCTGCGGCAGTTGCTGTTGCTGCTGCTGCTGCGTCTTGATCCCATTTTGGGTGATCACCGGCGAGGTGCCGCGTTGCGAGGCACTGTTTGGTGCTATCGGTGCTATCGCCGGAGGCCGATTCAAGGCTGGAGAACGTCGCTTCACATACGCCTGACTCCCGACAACCACGGATGGGGGCGGTGGCGTGGCCGCACTGCTGACGGAGGTGGGATTACGTGGCGGCGGCGCCGGTGGTGCCACCTCACTGAAGCCGCTGGGTGACGGCGAGAAGCCAGGATTGACGCCATTTACGCCCACAGGACGCGAGCTGGGCTGATGGGCATGGTGGGTGAGGGTGTGGGCATGGCTGTGCGAGTGCGAGTGTGGACTATCGGAGCGGGAGCTGCCCGCCCCGGAGTCCAGCGCTGGACTGCAGCGCAGGTAATGACTGCTCGCCGTGTCCCGTTCGATGCTCGGCTTACGGATTAGCTTGTTTGGCAACAAGGCGGTCATCATCTTTGGCACATGTCCATTCGCCTGCAGCGCCACTCCCACACCAACGCCCACTCCCACTCCCACTCCAACGCCTGGCTGACCTACAATGGCGGGTGGCGGGGGACTGGACACGTCCGGGGAGGGGGACGCCGAGGGCGGCGGCTCCATCGGTGGATTGGCATGATGGTAGTCCGGAGTAAGTGCATCGTTGCGTCCATTTGTCGCCGTATATCGCAGAGCTGTGTTATTCTGAAAGCAAATAAGGAAATTTGGTTTTAAAAATAGTTTTAAAAAAGGTTTTTAAAATAATATTTAAGTAAAATCATAGTTTGTTTTTATGGGTATTAAAATTTTAGTTATCAGCTTGTAAAACTATTAAAGAGTCATTTCCGACCCTACAAATCATATATATTCTTGATCAGCATTAACAGCCGAGTCGATTTAGCTATGTTGAGATAAAAAAAAATTTTTGAAAAGCTTTCAAAATTTTTTAAGGATTATATCGTCAAAAAAAAAAAAAAAACGCAAGAAGTTTAATTTCATTAAAGTTTAAATTGAGTATGCAGATATATTAATATAATAAAAACTAACATAGGATAGCTTTCAGCATTAAAATTTGTGCTTTTTTGATGTAGTTACGAGTTTTTTAAACTTTGGATATTTAAAAAAAATTATCATATTTAAATATTGATAGGAATTGATTCAAAGCATAAGAATATTTTAAGTTTAGTAATGAACGATATCCGATTAGAACCTATAATTTTATTGGAAACCGTCAAGATACATAAACTTGGATTTCCCGAACTTAGTTTCCTTTCTTGTTAAATATTATAATTATTTTCATCTATGTAAATAACCTTAAAAAGTATTCCTTATCATTAACATACTAATTTTACCCACAATTTAAAAAGGAACCCCCTTTGAACTACGCCCGTTTGTGGTCAACATTCCTGCACTGCACTGCATCTGTGTTTATGTGTGTGTGTTTGAATCAAAAACTAAACAAAAGACGAGCATACAAAAACAAAGAAAAACAAGGCGAACCAGAGGCTAAAACAAAAGGCCGAAGAAATGCGGTGGCCAAAGCAACAAAATAAAATTCTTGCCATCGTCGTGAAATTCCTAAAAGTCAAGCGCAGGCAATAGGTGCGAGCAAGATGGGGCGAGCCAGAGCAAAGGAGAAAGGGAGAAGGAAGCAAGATCACAGTGTAGATCAGAGAAGGAAAAAGAAGAAGGGGAGCACAAGAAGAAGAAGAGGAGCCGGCTGCCAGATGCGCCAAGACACACACACACACATACTCTAACCCACACAAACAAATACACTTGCAGCGAAGGTTGCCCTTGCATCCATCTCGCTCGCACTTTCACTCTCCCTCTCTCCCACTCTGTTTTGCTTGTGTGCCTTGTGTCGCCTTGTTCTTGTTCTGCTCCTCTTTTTATTCTCTGCTGCTACCCGTTTTACGCGTTCTTTTGATGCCTCCTCTCCTTCCCCTTCCCCTTCTCTTTCTCCCACTCCCCAACATCCAATCTGTCTTTGCCCTTTTGTGACTGATCCTCGATTTTATGACTTTGCCTGCCCCACCACTCCCCACTCTCTTGCCTCTCTTTCTATCTTCGTTCGTGTTGTTTCCTTGACTGCTCGTCAATTAGAGATGGCAACTTGATGGGAACCAGAATTAGAGATGGCAACGTGAGACGTGAGAGAAAGCACGATAGAAAAGGTATTATAAAAATATTTTATTGAAAGCCTTTTTATACAATTTTTTAGAATCATATTTTAGGACGTTAAGAAAAAGATTTTGAATCAATAATAACTTATTTCTTACTCATTAAATATATAAAATTCTGCATGAGGTGTTTAATATTAAAGAAATGATGAGAATATTATTATTATTATTCCTTTAACGATTTCATTTTCTTTTTAAACAATTTTTTAATGATGCAAATATGGTATATATGACAATTTTACGACCTATATCATGGTTTTAAAAAATCACCCCATTTAGCAATATTATAACTTAGCAATGCCGAAACATCTCGGGATTTTAATGGGCATCAAATTAAATTCAAGGACGCGAACCAAGCGAAACCCGACAAAGACCCCCAGCAGACTGTGCGTCTCGTCGCTTTTTGAAGACCCAAAAAAAAAAGCCCCGCAATTTCCCTCGGATTCTTCTGGGCTCCCTCGCGTCTTACATGAAAGCCAATTTACGGCAAATTAGCAAAAGCCAATGGGCGCACTAAATCAGCAAGTGCAACAAGACCGCGAAAAAAGTGTCGCCCACGCAAATTGGCATTGCTAAATTCTCAAATAAAATAAATTGGATTTACCGGGGCAATATATGCCCAGAGAAGAATTGCCGAAACACTTTCGTTAATCCACTTAAGCCCATTTGCTTTGCGGTCGCTGCAATTTGTAAAGCGATTAAGTCCCAGGCAAGGTCAAAGGAATTTTCTATATACAAAACACACACAAAAACGGATCCATCGGATGACATCTTCAACCTGACATTAGTATCTCTCACCTGTGGTATATTAGTTGCCTCATCAAACAGCAAAAGGATGTTGTAACGGGGCAGCAAGAAAATTCTTTTGGCATTTCAAGAAATTTGCAATGGGGCAAACGTCAGCCAAATATATCAAAACTAGGAATTCTTGGCAACGTTTAGATATTTGTGTAAAAATTTCGGTACAGGGGGTATTAGCTAACGGGGATAACTTTATTTTTAATCAGATATGTTCAGAAAAAGCTTAGGTTATTAATTTATTTGTAACAGAGACTCAGAGAAGAATAACAATCCAAGTTCCTTCAGCTAATATGCTTTTTCATGTGTGAGACATTGTGCTTTTTGGTGTATCTTGCTAATCATTCCCAAATTTTAAATCCTATTGACTTCCAACTATATAATAAGTTTACTTTCTCTACAAAAACAAGAAAATAAATAACCAGGAAGCCAAAATTTATATACCCGTGCAGCTTGTAGTTAAATTATAGGTTCGAATCGAAAATCGATCATAACTAAACTTTAAATATTTGCAATCGTTTAATCGATATTTTTTATGAACATTTTTTCTATAAATCATAGTTTTAGAAACTCATAACTCAGCCAAAAAATGATTTCTTTTAATTCGGAAAGCTTTTCTATGTTAGTTTTTATAAGATTAACAAATCTGCTTATTTAATTTATAACTTTAAAAATTTTAGTTTTTATAATTTATTTTAAAAAAAATGTATGATTAAACCCTTATAAGTGAAAAATTAAAAAAAAAATATTTTTCTTTGGAGATGGCTAGATCGAATCGGTTGTTGATGCTGATCAAGAACATATATGATTTGTAGGGTCGGAAATGACTCCTTGATCGTGTTACAAGCTTCTGACTGCAATTAAAATACTCTAAAGGATATAATAAATTAATTTAAACATTACAATTTCCCTTATTCGATATTTCACTGCTTTTCCCATTGATTGTCGGTGGGGGGTAAAGAGAGAAATTCCTCCTACCGATCGGACCATAGAAACTATATATGTATACAGAAGCTATCGCCAAACATTCTGCCGCACGCCGGACTTTTGTTTGTGTTTGTTCTATATTTGTGGGGCTATTTTGTTATTATTAGAGCCAACACACACTCGCCATACCCAAAACATTCTTTTTTCGGCGATTGCTACTGCTGATATATACATATGTATGTACATATCTAAGATGATATACACACACACATATATTTAGGTGAAAATTCCTAAGAAAAATAGCTAAAAGCAATGCCTGAGAATGATGAAAATCGAGCGAAAGCGACCCACCACCGACCGACAGGTTCAACAAATTTTTCGCACGAAAATCGCGCAAATTAGTTGAAAATTGCACCCCAAGGAATTCCATTTCGCTTGAAATGAAATGTGTCTCCCCATAAAATTGACTACAGACAGCGGAACAGTGATTTTGAATGGTATGCCATCAGTTAGAGAAATCTATTTAAAATACAGAAACAGAAATAAAGTCAAAAGTTCACAAGAAAGTAGGGGAATATTAATACAATCAATATGTCTTTTAAATTTTAAGCATAAAAGCATTGCGAAGAAAGCAAGAAAAATTAAGTCGAGTTTCAGCGGTGAGATAACCGAAAAATTAATACTGATTACAATCTTTCTCGCAAAGATCAGTTAGTAAATAGGATTTCTTTTGATCATATGATTAGGTATTTTTCATTGATATATCTTTATCTATTAAATCACAATTTAATGTATAATAGCATTTGTAAAACTTAACCCAACACTTTTAGCCCTCAATGTGTTCACACTCTTTCTTTTTTGTGTAAAAAAATATATATAAATTCGCACCAAATCTAAAAATGGGATTACATGTGTATGTGGCCATAACCGCACCAAATAAGTCACAGATTATATGGATGGGATCAGGCCAGACCCTGAATCGGTATTGTCAAAAGATCGGACTTCCCCCGATCATCAACCATCCATCTCCATTGCCTCGTTTTGTTTACTAATTTATTTATGGATTATTTTAATTTTTTTTATTGTAATGGCATTTGGCTCACTGTTAGCTGCGTTGGCGTCGCTGTCTTATTTATTCGTTTGCCTTTTTTTTGCTGTTGAGATTTTATTTATTATCAACGTTTGTTATTTTAATTAATTTCTTTACATACTTATGCCGCAACCCAAGTCTCGCCATTGGCCATTATCGATATGGATATTTATAGCAGGGGGCAGAAAATATTCAAGATGTGGTTAGGCTTGGTAGCTAAACCCGGCTAAAATGCCGCCAAAAAGAAAGGGTTTATGAAATAATATGGACTATTTAATACTCTATACATAGATATACAATGTTTGCTAGGAGAATTTAAAGGTTGGAAAAGAGGAAGCTCTATAGTTTTCTATAGTTTTCAGATTTGAAAAAAAACGCCTAACAAAACATATTTAAAATTTTGGTAAATTACATATGAATTATAAATACATTTTATTTACGAAAAATCCATTTAATTTTTGTTTAACAATCATTTGAATCTTCAGCATACCCTCTCTTTATTACAGGGTATTTAAGCGACTCAAAAACGTTTTTCGTGGGCGTGAAACATGTCCGCTGAAAGTGTTGATCGGGCCCCGTGCATAAATTCCGTATTTATTTATCGTCTATCGTTTATCGTTCAGCCATGCACTGCCCACATATGAATATGGGGGTAAACCCCCCTTTGGCCTTAGTCCAAAACATATATGAGCCATATATGAGCAGATTATGGGTTTCTGGTATTTAGCGCTCAGCATGACCAATTAGCCGGGCCATTGTGCTTCAGCCGGCGGCGCAGGCGTAGGCCGAAAGCCGAGCGAAAGTTGGCCAAAACCAAAAACCAAAAGCAAAAGCTACACAGCTAAAGCTAATGCCACAAACCACTGAAAATCGCAGTCAAGAGCCGCTGAACCAATGCCAATGGCAGCAATTGCAGCATTAAATTGGCCTGTCCAAAACTGGCCGAGTCATAACAATTAGCCAACTCCAAGTCCAAGTTTCAGCCGCCTTCAAGCATATTTTTATTTTTTTTTATGGCCAAAAACCTGAGCACGCCCATCGCTTGGATTAAGAGAAATCTGCAACCTCGTCGAGCCCCTGGAATTTCAGTGTTTGGTGATCCGAGGATTCGAGACTCCAAATCTCCCGGTTCCCCCAAAACGAACATACATAATTTACAGTCGCAGCAAACAGTAGCTGGCAAGTGGAGATCGTAAAATTTTAAATTGATGACCCGTCAGATAATATTTAAGAATTTTTATGTCCTCCTTGCTCCTTTCTGCAGCAGCTTCTTCGCATTTTCTTCTCTTTTTTTGTTGTCGTTTTATAAAGCCAGTTTCAGGCGATTGAAATCTCTAATAGTATCTTAAAAATGCTGACAGAAGAGCAGTCATCGGAATGGGTTAGTCATCAGAAGACATGGTAGCCAGCTTTGAGAGTCACAGGATGTGGTAAATTATTGATTATATACTTATATATATTTTAAAGACTTTGTAAATTTAGTAAGGAAGAAGCCTAAATGTGTCATAGCTTTAAGTCAGGGAAGGCCAGGGGAATAACTAGACACATTAGAAATCAATTTCTATGAAAACAAAATAAATAAATAAATAATCAAAATATATATTTATATATTTATACTTATTTATTTAAATATTCCACAAAATAATAAATATTCCCTTGCAGGGTATTATAATTTTAGTCTGAAGCTTATAACACAATGAAGGAATCATTTCCGACCCTATAAATCATATATATTCTTGATCAGCATGAAAAGCCGAATCAATCTAGCCATGTCCGAAATAAAAAAAAAATATAAATTTTTTTGTCGAATTCTTGTCCTTAAAAATGATCTTGTCAAAATCTCAAAATTTGACAAAAATGGGAATTTGTTAAATTTGAAAACTCAAAATGCAGATTTGTTACCCTAATAAAAACTAGCACAGAATTGCATTCCGAATTAAAATTAAAGCATTTTTGGCTTAATTATAAGATTTCAAAAACTTTGATTAAACCAAAAAATTTGCCTATAAAAATATCGACTTTATGTACCTGTAATACACCAATTTTTGGTTTACGAAGGTTAAAAAGCTAATGGATTGCAAAAATAATATTTATATTTAAATTATTCAATTCCCAAAATAATATTAATGAAACTTTGGCTAATTTATGATAGATTTCATATTCGAACCCATGATCCTACAGGTAATTGCAAGGGTATGCGCACTTCGGCTTATCGAAGTTAGCTTCCTTTCTTGTTTAATTATTAATTTAAATATTAAAGAAAATAATTATTTATTTATCTGATATTAAATTAAATAATTTTATATTTATAAATAAAATAATTTTATATTTATTTGTTACTTTATTTTTTCAAAACTTCATAGTTTTTCAATACCAACTAAACTAAACTCTTTTTGCCAAGAAAAGTAGGAGAAAAAGAAGGGGAGTTGCTTTGATTTTTTTGGTTGGTGGTGGAGAAGAGAGAAAGAGCAACCAGTTAATAAATGATTATTGCAAGTTGTTTGGCTAATTGCAGAGATGGTGCTGAAATCTTTAACTGATCGAGCAAGACCAACTTGACCATTAGTCATCTCCCTCTTCCCCAACACCAACTCTCTCTCCCTCTCTTTTTTGGATAATTGTCGGTTTTCATGGAAATCAATGGTATTTCACTCATATCTTTGCCTCGTCTATATATAATTTCGATTCTGATCTTGTTGAGTTCACAGAGTGTGTGACGTCAATGAGTAAAATCCAGGGCAATCGCGTGTACGCATACAATGTATGGGTACAGTGAAGATTTTATATGTTGTACATGGAATATTAGTATAAAATTAAGCAATTAAATTGTTTAAATTATAGGTAAATATTTTAAAATCAATTATTTAACAGAAAAAACTGAGCAGGGAATGTCCAAAAAGATTTTCAATATAAAGTTATGATTTTATTTAACTTGTTTCTGTTTTTAATTGTTTTGTATCTTTTGTATCCTTTATTTTATTTATTTCTATATATGTTCTGTATGTTTTTATTGAATTTGTTTTCTATATCGAGTGTCTACTGTCCCTCTCTTTCTTTTGCTGGACACTTTGTCTGCCAGCCAGTTGGCTCCCACCCACTCAGAAGGCAGAAGGTCAATTGCATTTCGCTTGCCAGTTCATTAATTTCATTCCCCTCAACGTTTGTACGTTTCTCTCTATATGTTTAAATATAGCTTGTGTGCTGCTGCTAATTTTCCTCTCTCTTTCTTGGATTTTTGTTATTATTATTATTCTTTTTGCTGGCCAAGCCAACTCCTGTTGCCACAACTGACCACAGCTGATCCGCCCACCAATTTACTTGCCCGCCCACCGACTGACCTTGCTGGAACTCTAACAGTCCGAAGAAAACTTTGTGTTTTTAAATGAAATAAATATTCTAAATATTTCAGAATTGTGTGTTATAATGGCAATATTAAATGCCTTAAATATTAATTGTGCTTATTATTTAAAGAGGTTTAAAAATACCATATATTTTATAGAGAAAATATATGCATTAAATACCAAAACTAAACTTTAAATCAATAAAGAGTTAATATAACTTAAGTAAAGCATAAAAATTATACTTTAAACTACATTTAAAGATCATAAATCTTTACTATTTAGTGTGACGTTCTTAGTTTTATTCAAAATAAAAGGCACCCACACTTCTTATAGTCTTTGTTTAAAACTTTTTGTGTCTTGCATTTTATCTGGTTGTTAGTTTTTAGTAGTTGTCGTGTCTCATTGGTTTTATTTTATTCTGGTTGTTTATTTTTTCTGGTTGTCGCATCATTTGTCGAGAGACTATAAAACATTGTGATAAGCATTTTTAATGGCATAACTTCCAGTGGAAGAGCTAAGACGATCTGAGAGATGGAATGAGCCGGGTCTAAACCGAGCTTAACTATGATGAGTTGAGTGCCACACTAAACGGTTTCTTAAATTCTTTAAGCCTGTTTTGTGGCTTAAGTTTAAGTATCTTTCCGAGGTGAGTCAGTGATGGAAATTCCTCAGATATAATTGGGAAGAAAAATGTTGTGGTGTTTTCTAATAGGAAAATTATATGTTTACTTATTTGTGGTGTTAAAAATGGGGAAAAATTAGGTTTCAATAAGAAGTTAATAATAATATTTTAAGGTGAACAAAAAAAATATATAATTATAATTATAATTTCTGTGTTATAATTTATAATCTTTTTGATAATTAAAAGTTTCTAAGTCTAGTTTTTTATTTATTTTATGAAGCAACTTTCTCAATAAAACCGTCTTCATTTTGATAAGAAGTCAAAAGATAATTTTAATATCATAATTTACATATATTTTCCTAGTGATCTTTTAGATAATTCAGATAATAACTAACTAAATAGATATAAATATATATTTATATCTTTCTTAAATTTGGTATAATCCCTCCCATTCTCACCTGATTATTCCTATGATTATTTTGTAGTTGAAATCGCGTTAAATCCTGCTTGATGCTCTCAAGGGCTTCCGCTGTGTAATTATCATTGGGGCGACCGCCCCTTTTTTCGCCCGCTGGATGCATTCTGCTGATGCTGCTGCTTTTAAGATATTTAGCACTCATATCACAAAATGCTCAATTGACCCTCGCACACACACACACACAGCACAACACAACACACACACAACACTGGCGAACATCAGCAGCCAGAAATTGAATTTTTTAATAAATTTGTATATTTCGCGCGTTATTCCCGGTATTATTATAATTATTATTTAATTTGTTGGTTTATACAAAATTATTCCACCTTTTCTTAGGCACTTTTTTATTTTGCATTTGCATTTCAATTATGTGAATATTTTGTAGAGACTTGGACTTTATAATGAACTACTTTAGTCTCGGGTATGCGAAGGTTTACGATCTTGATATTGTTGCTCTCAATAAAGATAAATGTGTTTGCACTGCTCCCGACACTGCTGCTCCTCACTGCTTCTCACTCCCCGTTTCTCGCTGTGTGGCTTTTGCTTTTGTTTGTCGTCGGATTATTTATCACTCGGACGGATGGAGGAGAATTCTTCCATTTCGCATTTGCATTTATAACAAAAAACTTCTCTCGACCAACATTCATTTCGCATGTAAATATTTCTCTTCACATTTTATTTGTATTTTTTTTGCTCTGTTGTATTTATTTTGTATTTGTTACTTTTTGTATTTCTGCTTTATCACAGATTCTGTGCTTGGAACAGACGCAGACACAATTCAAATTCGAAAATAGTTGCCCAGATCCGCACAAAGTCCCAGGCGATGAATGAATTTCATTTGAATATTTGAATATCAAAATATTAGTTGATTTTTAATTTGATTTGATTCTCGGCCAGCCAGGCCTGGCCTCACGGAATTTTAATTGATCCTACACACGAATCGATGGCGGTCAACTTGGAGCTGAAAATAGATAAAAATAAAAAACAAAAAATGAAAAAATTATAAAAGACATACGGATGAGAAAATTGATCAAACGAAAATTGTCACACGCTATGCGAAAACAAGGTTCAATTCCGATTCACAGGCCGAACAAAACTCATCAGTCACCCGCAGAAAAATGCCCATTCCAAATTTGACTCATTCGAATACTCAGGGTTGTTTTGGGTCAAAATTCATTCAGTGTTGACGAATACATATTTAGAATTTAAAATTATCTGAAAACTTAAGATTATTGGGTATTTAAATAAGGAATAAATTTGTTAAATGAAATATTAAAAAGCAAAACAAACAAATTTAATAAAGGATTGAATAATTAGAGGATTGAAATCCTTATAAAGGTTTCCAAAGGTATTCTAAATACTGTTAGATCATAAAGAAAACCAAAGTTAAACCAAATTTTAAGGTGTGAGTTATACTAATCATATAAAATATAAATAATAATATAATATATATAATATAATATAATATATATATTAAATTTATAACACAAAATAAAAATAAACCACTAAATTTCCTTTATGGATTAGTTTTCCATAACAATAAAATTTTAACAATATAAAATACATTTCTTACCTACGAATATTTATGATTTTTGTGTTATTTTAAAAATTATTTGAAATTTAGCCATTTTACTATATTTTTAATATCAATTCTATTCCTAAACTGTTCATATAAAACATTACTTAAATACGCTTAAGAAATCCATACTTTTAAAGCAGCTAAAGTCAAATTAAACCTCTTGCAACCCCTTTAAAAAAAAATACAGCTATTTGTTGGGTCAAAAAGGCCGAAAATTCAGCACTTTTAAGCCCTGTTGATGGTCTGTCGGCTCATTTACATGCCAGCGACGTGAGTCACTGAAAAGACTGGGGGCTTAAAGACTTGCTGCCGGAAAATCCACACTCATTGTCCATAATTACCAGGTGAACTTGCAAGGGAAGTTCCACCTGGAAATGCCTTCTTTTGGCATAATTTTCATGGCTTTTTTCGGGTTCACACTGCCAAAGTTGCAACCGATCGAGAGATTATATATGTACATATAGGGGATATTATGAGACAGAAGTGGAGACCATAAATTATGCGTCCATGTTCGTGCACATTATGTCATGTTTAAATTCTTGGGAAATGTAAAAAAAGATCCCCCTGAACCAAACACAAACCCATTTTTATGACGAACTATTAAATTCACACTATAGAGAGGGGATCGGTAAATGTACAGATATATATGTTAATATATATATAAAGGGGTGGCGTGCGCACCTGACTACGAAATAGCCATCGGTAGATAGATATGTAAACAAATACAAAATTTCGCCGAATTTGTGCCAAGTGCAAATGAAGAAGGAAACGCAAATGAAGTGAAGCGGGGGTTTTATGAATCGAAGTTATTAATACCCTATAGAAACTAAATATATAATATTAAAGAAATTTAGCATTCTAGAGAAAACAAACAAATCTATATTTAGGGTTACTTATAGTTATCACTAAAGAAATGGGAGCAGAATTTCAAGAAAATAAATTTAAAAAACTCATAACTCAGCCAAAAAAGCATTAATTTTAATTCGGAAAGTTTTCCCAAGTTATTTTTATTAGATTTACAAATCTGCATACTCAATTTAAAATTTTAAAAAATTAAAAATTTTATCAATTTTTTGCTTAATTTTAATGATAAAAAAATCTAAAAAAATTGGTACATTTTTATTTCAGCCTAAGATAGCTAGATCGAACCGGCTGTTGATGCTGATCAAGAATATATATGATTTATAGGGTCGGAATTGATTCCTTCACTGTGTTTCAAGCTTTTAATTACAATTACCCTGAAAGGGTATCAAAATAAGGCAAAGATCTAAAATTTTAACCCATTTTAGATTTATTTAAATGTAAATTATAATCATTTTTAATCAAGTTAGTGAGTAATAATCCTTCAGTTAATACGCAAAATAAATTAAAAGTCACTTTATTGTGATAATTCATAAAAAAGAACAATTGTTCACATGGCTATCAACTTGAGATAGTAATACTATACAAATGATTTTTTATTTGTTTATTTATCTACCAAGTATGGTTTTAATTCTTTTTAAATTATTGCTAAATCCAATTAAGTTAAGGGGATTATATTCAGACATTAGACTTTAATAGTTCTTTGGAAATTGTGCAACTTTTACTATAAAACAATTGACGGACGTTGATATGTTCTAGATTTCTATAATATTGATTTATATTTAAAGTCTACTATATACTATATCCCTTCTTTGGATATAATGTTTATAATTTTTTGTCCATTTAGTTAACACACTAAATAGTTGACATTCCTGGCTTCTTTTATAACGTTAAAGATAATGAACCATAGACATCTGTCAACATTATATGTACTTAGCTCTCTGTGTGTCTCGATCTGCAAATATCGTTTTGATTGCCCTGTAAATTCATCTCTAACATAAAAAACAAGGGGCAGCAGCAACAACAGCAAAATATGAGTTTTTAATTATTTTGTTGACAAAACGTTGTTTTCTTTACTTTAATTGTATTCTCTCTTCTATTTTTTCTAGCAAAGGAATGTGAATTTTTTTTGCCATGGTTTTGTGTGTACACGACATGGATGATAACAGAGATCGTACATATATATATATAGTAAATGTTGGTGGGGTAAACATCTCACAGCCCCACGCGCCAAATCCAAATGTCAACAGTAGAGATTGGCCCTGGGATATAGCCTCCCACAATAATTTGTTTTTGGTGCCAACTTGGGAAATATTCGCATTCCAAGCATACCGATAAGTATTTTTGCGCAAATATCAGTCTCCAAGTGTGTGTGCATATCCAAAACCTAATTAACAGTACAAACAACTAATTCACTTGCAGGTCTCTATGTCTCTTTTCTTTTTTTTAGCTTGGAATATTTTGATTTTGATGCTTTATTAAGCGGCTACGTTATTGGAATTTTTAATTGTTTAATTGCGTCCACCACACATCACACATTAAAGAGACTGAAGCCGCTTCGCTTCATATCTAAAGCCATCTAAATGGCTTTTATTTCCTATTTTTTATTTATTCGCTTAGGCAGAAATTCGTATTTAGCATTAATTGAGACATTTTATTGGCAATTATACTACGCAATGAACATGGGCTCAAAATACCGATTGTGAAATTCCTGGGTTAAAAAAAATGTCATAAAAAATAGCTCCGGTTAGTTTGAAATCCCATCTAGAATGGGTAATCAGGTTAATTACTTCTAATCACTTTTGCCAACTTACATCAACTATTTATTCTAGCGAGATTGTGTTGATTTTGACGCCTTTAAGATGTCTTTATTTACCTGAGAATTATTGCACTTAGCTTGAATTTACTTGACATTATAAGTGAATTAAGTAGTTGCTATTTGCAGAAATTTAAGACTTTTAAGGGATTATAAAGAAAGTAGCACTTCTAATCTGTTTATGTAAGGTAACTTAAACTTGTTATTATATTAAAAGCTTAAGAAATTGGGGAATTATAGAAACAGAAATTGCAATTAACTTGAAGAATAGGTGGAAAACTTCAATTTTAAACGATTAAAAAAATAATTTTAAATGGAAATACATCGAAATTTATATTTTTATCTCTTCTGAGCTCTAATTTGGGTATATAAATACAGATTGTTAAATTCTTAACATATTTTGTGTCTTCTTTTTAATTTTAATAATTTTCAAATAATTACTATCGATTACTTCGATAAATTTCCCATGCATTCTCGCTTTTGATAACATGTTCAATATATCGAAATAAAATGTAAGTAAGTGTTTCACAATACATTTCCCAATGCATTTTCCCTTTCGATAACATACCCTATATTTTCCTACATAGAAAAGTAAATTAGAAAAAACCAAAAGATTGAAAAAGAGAGCGATCATCGACAGAAGAGTAGAACATGGAAGGGGGGATAAAAGGGGCGGAAAAAGTGGAGAAGGAGAGCAGCAAGTGAGTGAGCTGAAACACGCTGCAGGGGGCAAACACTCAAGCACACACACACATTACACACACACACACACACACACACTAAGGCAGGCACAAAAGTGTGCGACGCGTCAGGGCAGAAGATAAAATAGTATTAGTTGCTGATTATTATTGCAAAAATGCGCATTCCTCGGCAACTTATTTCGCAGCGCAGAGGAAGAGAGAGAGAGAGAGGAGGGGGGGGGGGAGCTGCCAAAGGAGGTGGAAAAAAGGGGGCGGGCGGCTGCTGCTTCTGTTGTTGTTTTTGCTTTTGCCTTTTGCCTTTGCCTTTGCGTTTGCTCCACTCTACGCGTTGCTCTCTTGTGATTTCGTTTCGTTTTCCCTTTTTTCTCATGCACTCACACACACACACACATACACAAACAGATACGGATACAGGCGTGGGGGTTTGGGGGAGGAGAATCGAAGCAAGCAAGAAAAACGAGCTAAATTGCATTTTCGTCGTTCAAGTCGCTCGACTTGCATTGCAGCAGCAGCAGCAGCAGAAGCAGAGGCGTCGCGCAAGGAGGTGATATAAAAAAGGGGGTGGCAATAATTTTCAAATATATATCTTTTACTATACTATGGTTTGTCACAATTAAAATATACTCAAGCGAATTAAAGTATAATTTCCTCACAAGAACCATATTAAAAAGCCATTTAAAAACAATACCTACACATAATTATGACAGCTGTTTTTCACAAATTATTTCTTTGTCATTAAGCCTTTGTGGTTTTTAATATGTTATTTGGAATCGAAAAACCTATAGACTTTGCAAGCACTGTAAATGCTAAATATATCATTAAATGGGTTTTATTTTTATTATTAAGATGAATTCAATATATTTAGTTGAGTTAAATGGTATTTATTATGAGAAAAAAAAATATTAAAATTATGAAATTATTTAATGAATTTGTATATTTTAAATGCGAATTTCAAGTATAAGTAATGACTATTGTTTATTATATTTATATTAATTTATTTTTCAATTTTGTTAAGGCATTTTAGCAAGCATATTTAAAAAATTAGCACACATTTAAAATACCAATTTTATGAAATTAACAAACATTCTTTGCAATTCGTGTATAACCTATAAGTTCCCTAAATTCCCTATTCTTATTCAACCATTGCAGGGTATCACGTAGATTCGTCTTTATTCGCTACTTTAACCTTCCTTCCTTTCTTGTTTTATCGTTCATTTACTTTTAAAAGCAGCAACAACAACAACAACAACTACAACAACGACAGCAGCAGCAACAGCAACATTGTATTTATTGCCCTGCTCTCACAGTTTTCGTATAAAAATGTTTGCTTGTGTGTGTTTTGGAATGCACACGATCAACGCCAACGGAGCCTCACCTGTTCCAATGCTGCCCCGACATCGACGTCGACGCTGGCAGAGGGAGCAGCAACCAACAACAACAACAACAACAACAGCAGCAGCAATAACAACAACACACTCACATAATCCACTACGAATTGCATGCTGGAATGTGAATGGAATTTAAACAATTTTCAGCGTCGCTGACGATGACGCCGCTGTTTGCTGTCGCAAAAAGAAAAACGTAAAAAACACACACACACAAAAAGCAACAACAATTGCAACGACAACAACAATAGCAAAAAGAAAAAAACAAATAATAAAAAAGATATACAATAACATTTTGCGCATTTGGGAGGAGTTTTTATTTATTTTATATATTTTATTTCTTTGCGTACTGGTCAAGCCTTTGGCTTTAGCTTTTCCCATTTTGGCCTTTGGCCATTAATTGCAAAAGCCAGGTTGTTGATACCACAAATGCATTGGCATTTTATTTAAACAATTAATAGGAAATTTTAAACAAAACTCTGATAGTATTGTATATTGAAAATTATTGGTATTTTTCCAAAAAGGAAATGAATGAATTGCATTCATTCTACAAATGAATACGAAGCCTTTTTCGACTCCTTAAATCCCTATTTAATCAATAATTGTGAATAATAATTAAGTTGAATTTAAACGATAATAATAACTGTAGAAATAATAAATTCAATTAAAAATAAATATTTTAAAAGCAAGTTTAAATAATTGACTTATAAACCAACTAATTTCCCAAATACCTTAACTTCAACAAATATATTTTAAAATAATTTAAAATCACCCCTCTGAAACAATACTTTTACAAGTTTTCAGTCAGCCTTTGGGCAATGATAGTATCTTTTACCATATCCATAACCCCAATTGCAAGTATTTAAATTTTTGGCCGAGACATGACGACATGCAAAAACTTGTGAGAAAAGGAGGAGGGGTACCGCCTTCTCTGGTCGGCATGCCATTGCCAAGCCAGCATAAATAGCGCCGCCTGAGAAATTATTGTCGCACTGACATTGAAGCGCAGTGGCGGCGATGCCGCTAATTACAAAGAGCTGCGACAGGGGTCTGAGCGGCTAGAGGGGTGGTGGGGATCGTTTTGCAGTTACTTGTGCCACATTGTGCATCTTTCGCATTTACATTTACTTTGCTGCTCGCCTGGATTTTCCTTCATATTGCCGGTTGCAGTGTCTGTGCTTTATTCATATGTAAATCGCAGGCAAACTGCCCACGGTTGCATCAAAACACTACAGATATTGTCACAGATACAGTAAACTCTGCCTTGAGGGGATCAAGAAAATTACAGGGAAGTACCATATTTTTGAAGGACTTTATCAAGACCATTTTGTTTGAATTTTAATACGTTTTAAGAGCTTTCTTTCAGAGTTTTGAGTTTTTGTATCTTAAAATTGTGTATTTAAAATTATTTATCAAAATACGGAAAATAATTTTTAAATATTAAATTTGTATGTTAAAATAACAAAATTATAAAAACGTTCATAGATTGTTCAACAACTGAGGGATGTTTTTTATAGAAATACCGATTTAATGTTAAAAAAACCTTGTTTTCGACTGAATTTTTAATTTTCGTTATTTAAGATTTATTCCTACATATTTTTAGTGTATTAAATATAAAAAGAAAATAAAGTTGAAACTGAGAAAGCTCTACTTATTGGGACTTTACTGTGCTCCGTTTCAGTTTTATTTACTTTTTTGTTATTCCTCCAATTATTGTTGCTATTGCTGCGGTTACTGTAATTGTCACGTTGTTTTCTGTTGTTTTTGCCTTTTCCCTTTATTATTGTTTTTTATTTACGTTTTGTGAGCAATTCCGTGCGAATTTTCGACACTGAAATTGTGCCGACAATTAATTAAAGTTAAAATTAAAGAAAAATAACGACCTTGCTCAAATGTGGCTGGAAAAATCAAGGAATAATTGCTGGGAAAGGCAGGAAAATTCAATTTACACTCGAATTAAATTGAATGGTATTTCGTATTAATAGTTTTCCACCAATACATACACACACACAAGCGCACACACTGGCAGACAGAGATGGGAGATAGAACGCAGCTGAAGAATTTAATCCGATTTATGTAGTAACGCAGGGGGCCTCTCTCTCCTGCTCGCTCTCTTTCTCTCATGCTCCCACTGACGCACACATTCACACAGATACTCCCATTGCGAGAGAGAGAGAGAGGGTGAGTGAAATATGTAAATACAGCCTGTTGCATGTGTGCGAGTGTGCCAGCGAATTCGCATTTCGTTTTCAGGCACTTTTCCGCACATTTTTGATTGCTTTTCGCTTAGCCTGCTGCTGTGCGTTTTTCCGTGCAGTTTTCCTCGGTTTCCACAGACACAATTGGAAATACTAACATACACACGCACAGGCATACTCGCACCACACACGCACACAACTTCGATACTCCAACACACACACAAACACGCACTTAGCTGAGGGGAATTGCATTTTCTTTTGGGCTGGGAAATACGCAAATTCCAGCTGCAAACGTTGCATTTTCACCAGGGATCTTCCCATTTACCTTTCGGTCCAGCGTTTCCCCACACAATTTCCACCGTTTTGGCTCTTTGTTCTCGCCTTTTTCGCGTTTCCAACACACGGCACTTATTTCTTTTCTTCTTTTTCCTCCGTCAATTTTTTTTTCTTTTTCTTCTCGTTTTGTTGTTGACAAATCGTTGCCTTCTGCTTTCTCTCCCGCTCGTTTTTCACTTGTTGCACTTTCGCGCACGCACTACCACCCTTCGCGATGGGCTAATCCGATTTTTCGGGCATTTTCGGTGCGCGATTTACTTAAATTTAGTAGAAATTACTTTGTGGTTTGGCTTTTTGTTGCTGCTGTCGTGATTACGCGAGGAAAATGTTCTGTCTCTAGCTGTCAAAATATCGCTGGCGGGTTATCGATAGGGATCGGTCTGCGCATCGTTTTTTGTTTTGTTTTTTAGCTCGGACTCCAACCTAATATAAAGCTCATTTCTGCGTTCACATTAAATATGAAGTTACGTGAAATTTGAAGTTGGAATTAAAATTAATATTCGAGAATAGGCGAATAGGCGAGATAAATTTTTATGTTATAATAATAATATTGTGTAATATCACTACACTTATAGTGTTTATTTAATAGCGTCAAATTAAGAAATATGTTTGGTTTTAGTTAATTTTTACAAAGGTTTTTAAGATGTATATTAATTTCCTAACTCAAACTACACTTATTTTGTTCGTTTATTAAGCAAGTAATGAAGTTTTCAAAAAATTTCAATATAAAAGTAAAATAATTCACAAAATTGAGCTCTAAACCATAATGTTTTCACATATGAATTCTGCCAGCTTTTAATCGATACTTTAGTATAAACTGAAAAATAATTTATCTTTCTTTTAATTTAGACTTTGTAAATCTTTTAAAAATAATGGTGTTAGTGTCTTAGTAGTATAACTTTGAGTTAAGAGAAGAAAAATGAAATTATAAAATAACTTTGCGATAGTTAAATCGATGACAGATGGTCTATCGGTATATCGATAGTGTCAATCGCAGAGTTTCCTACCAAATTTTCCTGCAATTTCTGGCGGTCTTAAACTAATTTTGTGAAAATGTCGAAGAACGCCTTAGTTATTTTGGCTCCCGGTGCCGAGGAAATGGAGCTCATCATTGCCGTCGATGTGCTGCGTCGTGCTGGGGTGAGTTGTAGATGCCTTACCCGGAAAATCATGCTTGACTTCTATGTATATGCTATATGTTTTGATAGATCAAGGTCACGATGGCGGGCTTAAATGGCTCGGAACCGGTCAAGTGTTCCCGGGATGTTCAAATTCTGCCGGATATTGAGCTGGCCAAGGTAGCCACCGATAAGTTCGATGTTGTGGTTCTGCCCGGCGGCTTGGGCGGCTCGAATGCCATGGGAGATTCATCGTTGGTGGGCGACATTCTCAAGGCCCATGAGGACAATGGAAAACTCATTGCAGCCATTTGTGCCGCGCCTACAGTTTTGGCCAAGCATGGAATTGCCACGGGAAAGTCACTCACTTCCTATCCTTCCATGAAGGAGCAGCTCGTTGATAAATACAGGTTCAACTTCCCTGAATACTTTTAGAATTTAAATAATAATATGTTATCTTTTCAGCTACGTGGAGGGCGAGCTTGTTGTTCAGGATGGCAATCTCATCACCAGTCGTGGACCCGGTACCGCTTATAATTTCGCCTTAAAAATTGCCGAAGAACTGGTGGGCAAGCAAAAGGTTCAGGAGGTGGCCAAGGGTCTCCTTGTGACCTACAATTAAATGGTGAATAGCAGAAATCTCATATAATATTTATTATGCCATTGATATAATCAAGAACTGAATTAAAATTTGTTAAGCAAAGCAAAGGATAATGCCTTGTGTTTCCACCGGACTTCCCTTAAATAGGCAGCAAACTCTCGGCATTCATTTCCGCATCATCATCGGAATCATCTTTGCTCTTCTGACCTCGATACATTCCAGTTCGTGGACGCTCTGCGGGAGGACCCAAGGGATCAAACTGCTGCACAGCATAGGAGTTAGATCTCTGAGCATAGGTCATGCTCTGAGAGAGATCTGTATTCTCCTGAACGCGCTCCTCGTTGGACTTTCGGACGCTGCGTAATCGACTGCCACCCGAAGAGGCAGAGGATGAGGTGGCCGAGGAGAGACGCTGCTGCTGATAACGCTGCTCATTCTGGCGCTCCTGCTGTTGCTTGTGCAGTCGGGCATAGTCCGCAGCATAACGCTCGTGAAGATCTGACATTCCCAGAGACTTGGTCACCTGCATCAGAGCTCGCACACAAGTGAGATTGTCCGGAAACCGGGCATATATCTTCTGAAACATGCCCAAATACTGCTTCGGCGGCAGATACGAGTTCCTGAAGCAGCTGGCAATGCGCAACATCAAGTTGGGATCATTGGGATCCGCCAGGACAGCTCTTTCGTAATAGTACAGCGCCTTCTCCGTGGCCTGCAGCTTGATGTAATACGAACCAATCGAGCTGGCAATGTTAATGTCACTCATATTGATGCGATATGCCTCGTTGTAGTACTGATTGGCCTCCTGATGGTCCTGGATTTGCTCGTACAGCGAGCCGACCTTCTCGAACAGCCGGGAGTCGATGTCAGCAGCGGATATGCCAAGAACCTGAAGATAACCCTGCAGTGAAGCCCCCGGAGAGCCGCCCTTTAACCGACGCTCCTGCAACTTGGCCAGCTGATAGAATACATGGCTATGCTGCACCGAATGGGGCACCAAAAGCTGGGCCTTAAGCAGCTCGAAACGCTCTTCGGCCAGTTCGAAATCCTGCTGAGCCAAGGCCACCAGTCCCAGGTTATAGTTGGCCTCAAAGCTGGTGGGCTGCAGTTGCAGAGCTCGCTCGAGACGTTCCCGCGCTGAAACCAAATCCTGCTTCTGTAGATCCACAATGCTGGCATTAATCAAGGCCAGGGGATTCGTGTCCAGAGCCCCGATCTCCTGCAACTGATTGAGACAATGCCTGGCCATCTCCAAGTTGCCCAGACTTATGTAGATGAAACTTAGATTGGTCAAAGCACTGGCCGTCATGGAACCCTCGCTCTTACGATCGTACATCTGAAGCGTTTCGATGGCCTGATTCACATCGTTCTGCCGGAGATAGACCAAGGCTTTGTTCAACTCCAATTCACTGGCCAGCCAGGCCATATTCGAGGACTTGATCACCTCGATGCACCAATTGTAGCCATCGTTGTAGTTCTCCTCGATAATGGGCGATATTAAATCCACAATCATGGTAATGGAACGCTTCTCTGCATTCCTCCGCTGCTTGGTGTACACTGCCAGTTCATCCATCTTGATAGCTTGCAGCACATGGCGCTGTTTGGTCTTGGCTGAGGATTTTGCGGACTCTTGTACCTTCTCGTAGGAACCGCCACCTTCAGCATCAATTACGGCTACGTCTGCCTGGTTTTCCGTAGGTTTATCCAGCTCCTCTTGAGCTCCAGCTACTTGACCCGTCTGTTGTTGCAGCTTGATGATGCTACTCTCAGTGCCCAAATCCGTTTCCGTTTCGCCAGCAGGAACATCACATAGGCTACGAAAAGCTGTCTTGATTTTATCCACATCTCCGAGAGCGTAATAACTGAGCAACAAATGGATCCCACTCTTGATGTCCGCTCGCTCCGACATGATGAACTCAAAGCTGGAGGCTGCATCCGAGTAGGAACCCATGCGGACAAAGAGGACTCCTATGTTCTCCTGGATCTTTAGACGCAACTGACTTAGATTCTTTGGTACCGAATCCAAGGCCATGCGATACATCTTCACCGCCTTCTGATAGAGTCCCATTTTAAAGTAGATGTTGCCCATATTGATTTTCAACTGATTTACGTGGGGAAACATTTTGTTCTTGGTCATGATGCTATAAGTGTTGAGAGCCTCGATGTTGAGATCATTGCGTTCGTATTGCTCGGCGAGATTGAAGAAGACCTGGAAGGGTTATATGTAGATTTACAAAGGATATTGATTATTTTAGAGGCTAATCTTACCGCATATGTTAGGTCAAAGTTGTGATAGACATTCTCGCCCTGCTGGTCTCGAAATCTATGAAGGGTTCTATCCAAAGAGAAGGCTTCCTTGGCTTTATTCAAGGCCTCGGCTGAGGACTTGGTATCAGAGGTAGGATCTCCCGGTGAGGAACTCTGCCTGGCCAAAACAATAGAGGATTCCAAGAGCTTGACAATCTTGCTCTCCAGATTTTTGTACTTGATCTGGGGACTAAAGGAAATATTAAATTATTATTTGTGGATAAGAAAATTATGGTATGTTTGTAACTATAATATATTCTTATTATTCAAGACTTCACATACCAAAATTCACATCTCTAGATCTCATAGATCCTGAGATATTTATGGTCTATATATTATTTTAAAGATTTTTACTCACTTGACTTCCTTGGCAGCATCCACAGCGGCATTTGCAGATGACAAAGTCTGTTGCTTGGCCTTTTCCAGAAAAAACTGGTCAAACTTTTGATTGGTTCCGGCGCTATTGGCAGCATAGCCCACAGCTCTCACAGCAGTTGAGGGTCTGGCCAAAGAGGTTTTGTCGCCACCGGCAGCACGACTGCTGACCAGATTGCCACGCTAAAGAAACCGGATTAAGATTTAAGATTTAAGAAGAAAAATCAAAGGAAAACTTATCCCAAGACTTACCGAAAAAAGCTGCGAAGTTGGGGGTCTTGGTCTTCCGGCTGCCGTTGGTGGCGGAGGAGGCACTGCATCATCTCCTTGGTTTTCCACAGCACTCATTTTAGCAGCTTATTTTTATATTTAATTTGGTAATTTAAATATTATTAGGAATTTCAATAGTTTAACCAAATAAATAAATAACAAAACTGCTTATTTGTTTTGGTTCTTTTAAGCGTTTCCTTGGTAACCACAAGTTCACCTCAAGTGGAAAATATATTCAAAACAATATAAAATTAGTATACAACATAAAAAACGAAAGCCTCGAATGCAAATCCATTAAAAAAGTATAGAAATTTTTAAATTTAAAATATTTAATTTTATTAACGGTTTTTGCCTCGGCTAATATGTAATCCAGGACATAAACCTGTGGTGAATACATATTGGCAAGAGATATAAACACAAACGTAGGTAAAAACTGTAATTTAAAGCTAAAATTGTTTTAAAATTATTAGATATCAATTTGGGCCACTCTAGTATGCTGCTGGTATGTTTCTATAATAACTGGTACCCCTTTTTTTGCATAATGGTAACAACTTTGTATCTATAAACGTGTAAAATGTTATATTGACGTGTAACATGTAAAATGTTAAATAACTGATTCGTGATTCAAAGTGACCAGAAACATAATATCAATATATAACAAAAATATATTAATATATTTATATTTTGATATATTTTCAACAACCAACATCGACCTGACTCCTGAGAGCACCCGAGAGAGAGTTCTGATAATTAACATCTACCCGACAGCACCCGAGAGAGCAGAAAGGAATTTTATATTTACATGAAAAATCGACCCCGAGTTTTACACGTGTAGACGGATAGGATGTAAAATGTTAAGTTACAGCTTCGGATTTCAGAGTGACCAAAACAAAAATATCAAAAAATATCCAACAAAATATCGCGACATTTGGGCTAACAATATTTTTATATCTTCTTCACATCACTTTCTGAAGAAAAACCAAACAAAAAATAAACGGTTGCTTGTGGACGTCGGCGTTTCGCGTTTTTTTCGCTTTTCGCCGCCTGTGTTGTTACCAAAAAGCTTATTAACAAGAAAAAAGAGAATCGCAATAGGCGGTAGTTTGGCGGCAAGATTGCATGTTTCAAATATCAAATTTAAAATTACGAATTAAAAGAAGTGCATAGTGGCGAAAATCAATAGCAAAGCAAAGTAAATAAAGTGCATACGAATGAGAGTGGAAGTGCGAGGAAAGCGATAACCAAATGCAAGTGCGTGTGGGAGAAGAAAGCCAGCGAATAGGAAAGGCAGACGAAGGAGCCAAGGCGAAGGAGTGGATAAAGAAGTGCATTGAGAGACGAGAACAATAAATTTCGGTGCGGCGGCGTTGTTTTTTAATTTACGTGACGCGAAATTTAATGCGCTCTCGCAAGCCCCGCTCTCGCCCTCGGTCCACGGCATCACTCTCTCCGGCTCTCTCTCTCTCTCGCTCTGTTGAAATTTAACTGCGAACAGGGTCAAAATAAAAACCCGTCAAAAGAAATACTTGTGTATATATAAAATTCTAGGTATTTCCTACCGTCTTTAGTTTGTGTTACCTTCGCTCTTTATTTTCTTTTTTGCGGTTAACGCGCGCGTGATTCATAAACTCGATTCTGTTGTTGTCGCACTTAAAAAACAAAAACAACAAAAAAGAATCTGATACGGTGCATTGAACCTGCTGAAATCATTGGTTACCAGTAGGCAGCAGCAGTAGCAGCAGCACCATGGATAATAACGGTAAGTTTTCAAACTCACCAAAACTGCAGTTTGTCTCGTGAGTCTGTGTTTTTTTTTTCGCACCTGGCTTTGCTTTTCTAGTTTTGTTGTTTTTTTCGGGGTGGGTCCGCCTATTTTTGCCGTCTTCCCTTTACGCGCCATATTCGCATTGTGTGCGCCCCGAAAATACCACTTTTTGTTATTGTTGTTTTTCGTTCTGGGGTGGGTGTGTCCGCCTTAACCCAAGGACACTGGGTTTTCTTGTGGAAATCCCTTTGGAATCCCTGAATCTGACAAGGAGGGAATTTTACAAATAAAATAAATAGTTGTGCTATAATCTTGAAGGAAAATATGTAAATCTGTATTTCCTATATTTATTTATTTATTTATATATTTTCTTTAAAGAAAACTCACTTTTAAAACAGTATTGCTTTGAAAGCCATTTAAATACAACTTATACAAATTGTTAACTTATAGTTTTCCTACATATCTATGTAATAAAACTGAAACATTTTAAAGAACTTTCTTATAAATAGGTTAAATAATAGGTTTTAAAATGTTTAACCGATTTCCCTTTTTCTTTTTCTTCTAAAATATCCGTTAATAATTTAAATATCTTAAAAATTTCACCATAAATATATTTAAAAAAATTAAATAAAAAAGATACATGTTACTACATTTTACAGTCGCAGTTAATCAACAAAAAATATCAAGATTTTTCTTAAACAAAAAACAGGGAAACCGGTTTTTATTCTATATTTTTCAGCTGGCAGAAGAAAAGGTCTTAAAATGAGTATTTTTTTGTTCGTTTTGATGATTTCATGTAGCTATAAATTTACACTGTTCAAGCAGTTGAAAAGATTTAAACCCTCTCTCTCACACCCCCTCCTCCATAAGCCCCTTGAAACAAAAAAAAAATCACAATGGGAACTCGGAAAAAAAAAATGTTCTGGGATGCAAATTAGTGGAAATGTTCTCTCTTTTTCGCCGGTTAAAAATAAAAGTAACTGTGAAACAGGCAGAATTTTGCGGTTTTTTTTTGTTTGGTTTTTTAGGGTCTGAATATAATGGGTTAATTAACTCTCTTAGAATTCTTGTAACTTTTAGAATATAAGGCAATTAATCATGTATTGTGTTTCTTGATTTAAAGTAGCTGAGATATATAATTATTGGCCCAATTTGATTCAGCTTTGTATTGTAGTTACAAATAATGAAACAAATTTATAACTATTTAATTAAATGAAGTTCTAAAATATATTAATGAAATGTATCCTAAAGTTTATAAGATACTTTACAAGTAATTTTTATCAAAGCAAAAGTGATTTGCAAGGTTCAACAACTCATTTTTATAGTGCATTTTTCTATAATACTTATTACAACAACTCACCAACATTTCAACAATAACCCATTTTCTTAAGCTTATCTTTTTTCAAGTCATAAATGTCTACTCTAAAAATTGAGACTTGCTATTATGATATGCTTGTAAATAAAAACATCATTGTTCCAATTAGAGGTTACTTGTTAATTGCAAATTTATTGAATTAACCTTGGACTTGGGCTGGAAGACCCCAAGAACCTAAAATAGAATACTAAACCGAGTGAGCTTAAATATTTTTTCAGCAAATTCACTTTCAATTATTCAGTTATTTTTCAAGTTTAGCTTCTCTGTTTCGATTTTTCCCTTGACAAGCTTGACCCTTTAGGTGACCCCTTCCGGCTACTGTTCAATGTTCAGCGGGCAGATAATCCCCAATCGATAGGAAATACTACTCCTACTAAGGAGAGGCGGGGCTTTACCGACAATATTAATAAATCTTAATGTGCGCGACCCAACCTTGTTGTTATGGCTTCTTTGTGGAGAGACCCCAAGATTGTGCAGTCTTTGTTGCTTCGCTTTTCTTTCTTTATAGTTGATGTTGCCGGCTGATAATGGGAAGCTGATTGAAAGACCCTCCCCCTGGTGCCCCCTACAACCCCCCAAATATGCACCGCACCCGTAGCAGTCTCTACTGATGATGATGATGATTTCTTTTGATGAACAATTTCCAAAAGGGACAGACAATGGAAAGGCCAGCAGCAGCCTCATCTCAGCTCTCTATATATGTATATTATATATACTCTTTGAGTTACATTTGCATCCCAAACAAAGCTGCTTTCTTCCGCTTGTTTAAGTGATTCGGTTTTGCTAGACAAAAAAAAAACTAAAAATAAAAAATAAAAGTGGAAATGCGAACAACAAAATGAAGCGTTTATGTAACGACACAGGCACAATGCTGGCCACAATGGAAATCAATGGTCAACAAATGAAAACAAAACATTTTATCAGATTTCGTATTTGCCATTAGTTTACTCACTGCACTGGGAAAATAATTCATTTAATATAAGAAAGATTAATTGAAATATCTAGAACAGAATAAGAAAGTTTGAAATTTGTTTTCAAACTTAAACATATCATTATCACCTTACTCAAAGGTAGCTTAAAAAGTAACAAATTAAGTTTTATTTGAAGAATTTACTGAATCAAGTTCCCTTTCTTCAAGTGATTTTTATCTTATCATTTCTGTTGGGGGACTTATGATATTTCTCCAGCACTCCTTTCAGAGACCAAGCGAGCTTTCCTGACATTTTAATAAATTGCCCTTGCCACGCCTGGATTTTGCCTTGAATTGTCTTTGGCGTGGGCTCTAAATCGCTGCCAATGGGTTAAATGAAGAAATGGCATTGCCAAGCCTTCATCCTATTAGCCAACTGTTTCTTTCTCCTTTTCTTATAATATTTTTTATGTATATGTGTGCTGAAATTATGAGACCTGATGGATTGCTTTATGACTCACTGTGAATTCGCTGAAAATTGTTGTCACGAAAACGGCGAATTAAGAGAAGTTTGGCAAAAAGGGGAATACTCTATCTATAAGAGGAGTGAGTCATTGATATAAAAAGGGAATTTACTATGAAATATGTATAAAAAAAGTATTTACAAAATAAACAAGGGGAATTTATAATTTGTATATTCAATTTATATTATTAAAAATATTTTAATTGGCTTCAAGTTTAGATATCATATAAAAGAGGCAATAAATTAATTTTAGGAATATTTACAACACATTTAATACGATTGTTTATACTGCCCTAATCCTTTTTAACCTATCAGTTTGGCATTTACATATATTTCAAAATGATGTTTATATATCTAAAGTTCTTTTAAATCTTTAATGGGTGACTTCCTTGTTTCTGATATAAAAATTCCGTAGAAATACCCAACGGATATGGCTCGAAACGATTGTAAATATTTAATGTACAAAAAAATATTTCATTTTTGTTTTTCCTTGCAAGTGAAGCGTACGGAACCGCTTTATTGATATGCAAATATTTTTTTTTTGCTGCTTACTTTGTTTTTATTATTATTTTTATTTATTTTTGTTTTTGCTGGTCTGTTGCATTCAACAGTTGTGCCTGCGGGTGACTCAGTCCTGGGGTTAAATGAATTTGTATGGCAAAATTGTATTTAAGCTAGTTTTTTTTATATATTTTTTTTGCGCCTGCCTGGGCTTATCTTATCGCTCTTTTCCTCAGACTTGTGTGCTGCCTTATCACAGGGGCGAGGGAAATAAATAGAAAATTTGAGATATGACCAACAGTCTCTCTATTTCTCCCTATATCTCTCTCAACGATATATGTTTCCGTCCTGATTTTAGGAGAATAAAAGTATGCCAAGTTTGTTCTCTGCTCCGAAAAAATCAACTTGACTTTGCCTTGAGTTCTTCTTGAAGAAGAAATGAAGAAATATGCGGGTTCTTTTCTACCATACCATAAAGAGCATTCCATATACCATATCAATGAACTGATAAGCAACAGAATGAACTCCAAGGTTTCTCTTTTAATGACACTTCAAGTGCTTGGGCGGAAAGGGGGATTAAAGTGTAATATATATTCCTAGGAATTCTATGGCGCACAATGTTTGTATTTGTTTTATTTCAATGTTTGTTTTGAGTTCTAAATTGAAAATCGTTAACAATCAATGTGTCTTGATTGAAATCTATGAAATAGGATGACGATCATTGTTCATTCAATAAATTGATTTTCCTTCGAAACCTATATTTTCTTTAATGTATAATATTTCTAATCCAACATGGCTGTCTTGCCCTTTATCATTTCTATTAAAAATAAAATGAATAGAAACTTTATAGTAAATCTCTTTTTTTTGGGTACACCAAATTTTAATTATCAAGTCTCCAATGAAGTAAAGAATATAATAGAGTATAAAAAAATATTACATTTCAGTTAATAAAAGGAATAACAAAAAAACAAAAACTTCACCAAGGAACATATACAAGAGCTTCAACAAAAAAAATAGATCATTTTAGTTAGTGAAAGGAATTAAAAATACCAAAAGCAAATGCTCCAACATTTTGACACCGAATTTAAACCAACAAGTCACCAATGCAGTAACGAATATGATCGAGTATAAAAAAATCAGATTATTTCAGTTAATGAAAGGAATTAAAAGAAAAATTAAATAAGTCATTATAGCCATCATCTTTATTAACTGTAATTGTTGACGGGGACCAAGTTTCAATACCTACAGCGAAGATAATTTATGTCTCCATACCAGAACATTAAATTTAAAGAAAAACGAAAGAATTGTAAACTTAAGAAAAGCAAAATCATGCATGTATCATGGAAACCCATGATACGCAAGTGCTAAACAGCGACAGCGTGCAAACATATGTCTCAAGATGAAAAAGTCGAAAAACAATAATAAAGCAAGTATGAAAACCAAAATAAAAGTAAATCAAAATAAAAACCAAATAAATATCAGACTGAATATGAGAGCAGACCTTTACCCAAGGCTGCTGCCCGAATACTGAATAATCTAGAGAAGCCTAGCCAGGCAGGTAAATTAAATCGACATGGCCAACTAGGATGTTTTTCGATTACGATTTTTTCAACTTTCGAGTTCAGAATGCAACCCAGTGAAAAATATCGATTCATCGATATACATAACACTTGCACCTTAAAACA